ACTGTGAGACTTTGTCTCATGTATTAATTTTATGAATATGGTATCAAAAAGAGCCTATCCCTGGAGAATAACATTATGCTTTGGAAGTAGAGGATCAGGGAAGGAGAGAAAGACCCTTAGCAAGACATATGGATGCAACAATGACTGCAACAATGGGTTGCACAGCTGAGCTTGTGAGGAAGGTGCAGGATGAGGCAGAATTTCTTCCTGTTGTTCATGGGATAACTGTAAATTAGACCTAATTTAATGTCATCCAACAACAAAAGATCCCCACTGGTCTCTGAAAACTAGAAATAGTCTCAGACCATGGCCAGAGGAAAAAAGCTTGTCTCATGTAGCTTACAAATAGTAAAATAATGTAGCTATATTTCTTCCTAAATGATGTTTAATCTCAGACTTCTATATGAAATAATATATGTTCTTATGTGATGTTTTGGTCCAATAGAACATGATATGTGAGGCTCAAATACAATTTTTTTTCTGATAGCCATGCTAAAAGAATAAAAAGAAATAAGTGAGACTAATTTTCATAATGTTCTACATAAGCTGCTGAGTTAAAAATCACTCCCTCATTGCTGTAGAGTTGGAACCAACTCAAAGTTGACCTTCCATTCCATTTTTGGAGGCTGTAAATTGCAGGGGAGAGGATTACCTAACTTTCTCCCAAGGAATTGCTGGTGGATTTGAACCACCAGAGTTAGTTGCAGCCTTTGAGTCAGCAATGCAACTCCCTTATATTAAAAGTGGTCAGTAGATCATAATACAAAAATGAATGATTTATTAATATCTTATTAGGAGGGACTAATCCATGGAGGATATCATATTTGATGGAGGGTTAATGAAAAAGAATACCCTCAATTGTTATGGGCTAGTATATTGGCTGCCAACAGTGGACTCCAGCATAGCAGCACCTGTGAAGATGGCATAGTATTTTGTTTGTTTGGTTGTATAAAACACTACTGTGAATCAGAACCAACTCTATGGCACCCTGTGGCTTCAGACTTATGTTTTCTTCAACCTGTTTGTTGTCTGCAATTGAATTTTTTTTCTTGCCCTTAAATTTATATCAGAATTGTCTTAACTGAGACCATAAATTTTAAAAAAGAAACAAGAGTCTCATAACAAAAATTTACAGAATGTCCCTGGGCCTCCACAAGAAAAAGACTGGTAACCCAATTACAAAATGAAGAAAAGACATGGAAAGAGTTTTCATGGAGGAAGATATTTGAATGGCCAACAGACACATGAAGAAATGCTCAAAATCACTGGCAGTAAGAGAGATGTAAATCCAAACCACAATGAAGTACCATCTCACCCCAGTAGCAGTGGCAAATTTTAATAGGACAGCAAGTAATAAATGATGGCGAAGATGTGGCGAGATAGGAATTCTTATCTATTGGTGATGGGATTGTAAAATGGTACAATCATTCTGGAAGGCAGTTTGACACTTCCTCAAAAAACTGAACATAGAAATTCCAAATATATGACCCAGCTATTACACTGCTTGGAATATACCGTGAGAAAATGAGAACTAAGGCTCAAATGGAGACTTGTACACCAGTGTTCATTGCAGCGTTATTCACTATCACAAGAACATAGAAACAGCCCAGATATCAAACCACAATTAAATGGATGAGAAATTATGGGAGTGATGATTTTGTACTACATTATTACTGAACTTTGGAAGGACTGAAGAGCATTATGTTGAGTGAACTAACTCAGTCCCATAAGGACTAATAACTGTATAAACCATTGTAGAATAAATATGAGGATCCATAGGGAAGTGGTGGAAGCAGAGGGGTGAAGAGGAGCAGGGATGTTAATCATAGGGTTGCACAGTTTAATGTGGGGGGTGAAGAAAATGGGAAAGATCCAAAGTGAAAAACAATGTATTTGAACTTTGTAAATAAATCAGTATAATAATAAACCCCAAACCAGCCCACCAAACCAACCAACCAACCAAAAAATAAAAAGTAAGCTGTAAGGAGTAGGACCACTATTGTTGGCATGGAGCTGGTGGAGAGTGAGTTGTTCCTGATGGGTGATGTGCCCATCACCCTGACGTAGTACAATGGTCACACTAAACTCATTCCAAGGAATGATACTGTGGACAACTTTGAGCCTTCTGACAAGTGTCTGTTAAGAGCTTCTGAAGGGAAAAGGAAGATCAGTACCATGGTAAGCTCTACAGAACTGAATAAGTTTCAGATTTACTCAGAGCTAATATAGGTGGTCTGGAGAAGGGGACAAAAAAGAGTAAGAGGAAGAAGTGCGGAGCAGCACAGTGAAGGGCACCACACTTTCTGCCTTCACCAACTAGCCTTTGAATAGCTGTTTTTCCTTTGATTTTTACTTTTGTCCACAAAGTTAGACTTTTGACTCCCCCACAGTGGCTGCTTTCTTATGAATGCACATTTTGGAGCGAGGAATGGCAGAAGGGGTTCAATGTTTACAGGGTAGTTGAGGTAAAAACCTAGTTTATGTTAGATCGCTGGCTAATTGGTTTTAGTTGAATGCTGTATACTCTTTTATCAGCTTCCGCCCCCCACCCTTTTCTTTCTTCCTTTTTTTTTTTTAAAAGCAAGTCTTTAAAACCTAGTAATGTGTTTCACAGTTAAAGCAGGGACTCAGTTGAGACTTATTTGGGACAAGTCACATTTCAAGTGGTCATGTCACTAGTGGCTACTGTATTAAATAGTATAGTTTGAGAGCAAATATTTTGTATACATCCAGATGAGAATTAGAAATTAACATTGACTATCTAGAAATGAAGGCCACATATTTCTATCTTTTTAGAATGGGCTTTGTGGCAGTGTGATTCATTATCCTGTATAACTCAAGTTGCAATTAAGCAGTCAAGGTCTTGGGCAATAAAGACTAAATAAGGAATGCTTTAACCTGCCTCTGTTTCTGTGAGCATATGCATAATTTTAAGAATGCAATGTCTTTGATTTGTGGAGTACTGGATTATCAATTTAATGTTTTAGAGGTAACTACACTTTGAAGACTAATTTTGGAATAGTATAAGGTGTGACTTATTCTTTTATTTTCTAAGTGAATTTTAAAAAATGTAGTTATTTATCTTTCTTAATGCCTTATAGATATTCATTGTAGTTTGATTTTTTCCCCTTAAGACATGCCAAACTTAAAAAAATCCTTATAAACTTTTTAATAAATAATCTTAAGTCAAAAGATTTATTTTTGCTTCCTTAAATGATATTTACTGTTTTGAATCTGTGAGTTTCCAAAAAAAAATTAATGCATTTATTGAGGTTAGATATTAATAATCAAAACTCCCTCTTAAATGAATCCTGGTTTATGCACTTTGTGGACTAAATGAATTAGAATCTAAACTTTTATCTGAATCTATGGAGCTTGGATATAAATTGAAAAGATCACAGCTATGGGGAGAAGACCTATACAGCAAAGGCCTTTCTGCATAGATTATGAACATCATAACTCAATAATTTTTTCAAAACTATGGTTATAATTGGACCCAATGGGGGTCTCTGTCTTTGATCAGATCACAGTAACTGTGACTTTACACTGGAAAATGTCACTACTGTGAAGGTTTATCACCTGTAGAGCTGGTCTTTCCTCTGATGCTGTGTTCATTTCTCATTAGCATTATTCAAAGTTTAGTTGTTAATTAGGATGACACTTCAATTGCAATAAGCATCTACAAGAGTAGTCCAGACTTCTTGCATAAAGAAAATTTTCCTTCTTGCATATATGCATAGAGGAGGAAAAAAAAAATCCATTATTTTGTGGTCTAGCAGTTTTATAAGGATCTAAATGTACATGAAAGAGGCTAGCCACCCAAAGTTTGTCCTGTCAGGGGTTTTTTGTTTTTTTTGGTTTGGTTTTGTTTCTTAAGAAAAGGGTATTTTTTCCCCCCCAGACTTTAAATGTTTTCATGTTAGGCATTGATGATAAATCTTAGTGAGGATGAGTAATTTCAAGTGAATCAGTTAAGTGAGAAGTGTATATAGATGTATAGCACATCTCTTTCTCCTGCTGTATAAGAGTATATACGTCAGTAGTATAATCTCATTTGTAGACATTCATTTAAGTATTCGCTATTGATAAATCATATCCATTCTTTAACATACATCAAACATGAAGCTAAAAAATGGAACAAGTATGAAGAATTAACTTGCCTTTTAAATTCTGTAAATTCCTATGTGTCTGCATTTTTTTCCATTAAAAATATTAATATTTTAATCTGACTACTCATTTACAAGCAGCAATCATGTACTCAAACCTAGCAAATGATAGTGGCAAAAGGTAGACAGAGCTGGGTTTAAATTACAGCTCTACCATTTATCAACCAAATAGTAAGGACAAATTAATTCACATCTTTGAGCTGCTTTTTCTTTGTTCTTGAATGGGAATGGGAATATTTGAGAAGACTGGTGTGAGGATTAAATGCGACAATATATGAATTTGTCAAAAATCTATCCTAAATGCGTGGTAGGTTTTCCATTACCTTTAGCTTTTTAAAAAAATTCTTATATAATGAAAATCATTCAACAGATGACTGGAAAATTACATATGCAATTTAGGCTTTCCAAAAATAAAATTAAGTAGTAAGCAATCCTGGAGGACCCGTAACAAATAACCTTACGAAGCAGAAATGAACGATACCCAACCGGCTTTAGCTCAAAACAAGTAGACACATGTTGTAATTGCTAAAAATCTGCAGAAAAGTGGCTCACAAGCAGTTTACTGTAAAATAATTAAAGCTTATTTATGTCAAGAGGCCTTGGGAAAAAAAGAGAGCATAAACCAATTTGCATTAGCACTTTACTATCATCTCCTGCTTTCCTTTCAATTAACAGACCAGCAGGTGCTCTCTGCAGTTAAAAAGATAAGCTATCAGGGAGGAGGATGAGTTTTTGGCTGACCTGCAGACACTGTGGTTTGCCTGCTGATTGGGTTCGTACCTCGCTGTACCAATTTCTGAGGTGTTAATTTAACTGTTCCTCTCTGTCATGCAGGTCTCGGCCTTGAAAAATAAACTGAAGAAGCAGTCTACGGCTACCGGTGATGGAGTAGCTAGGGCCTTTCTTAGGGCGCAGGCTGCTTTGTTTGGATCCTACAGAGATGCACTGAGATACAAACCTGTAAGCATTTTATTTCATCATTATTTTCATTTGCTTATTGTGTTTGGTTTTTTCTTTTAAAAAAAATGAGGCCTAGAAAAGAAACATCATTTTTATATCACGCCTTAAGAAAGTATCATGAAGGTTTTTAAATCCCAAAATCAAGTGCTTTACAATATCTTTCCATCTCCAACATTTGTCTGCTTTTAGTTCAAGTCATCTTTAGTTGTTGTCTGCAGCACTTTTGCATCTTACCTTGGTCATTGTCTAAAAACTGTATTCTTGTCCATAATTGATTAATGAATTGTGCTGCTATATTTGAAAGCCTCTATTTTATTTTCAAATCATTAAGGAATGAAGTAGACAATAGGAATTTTTTAAAAAAATGATAGTCTAGTTTAGAAATGAATACAAAATATAAATCTGAAATTAGAATGAAACTTGCAGTACACAGGAATGTGTTATCTTACTTACTCATAATACTTGTCAAAAAAGTGGGTTTATCTACTTGCAAGTTATAGATAATTTTACTGCTTCTCTTTTAATACTGTCAAATGAATATGATGGGAAATTGTAGCCATGTACCAGAAGAGTAGGCTTTTAATCTATTAAAAATAGTAATAAATAATTGGTAATAGTAAGATCTGCTGTCTAATAGGAATTTCATCATTATTAGCTGTGTATTTATAGCCTGATGTCTTCCTTTCTCTAGACTTGTTCTATCTACAGAAAGATAACTCATACTTTTCCTATCTGCCCTTTAGGCAGGGTTGGTGTGTAAATTCTATAGAAAATTGTGAAGCACTAAACAAATATGAATGGAGTAAATTCTTTCTAAATTGACTTCTGACTTAGTGGTTTTCATCCAGTGGTTCTCACCCTTAAGGGATTATGCAGCTCTTGCACCAAATCAAAACCAAACCTACTGAATCAAGTCTGACTCCTGGTCACACTAACAAAAAGAGTAGAGCACCATAAGATTACCAAGGCTATAAATCTTTACAGAAGCAGATTGATGCATCTTTCTTCTTCAGAACAGTGATATGTCAAACTGTCAACTTTTTAGTTAGTAACCACGAACTTAACCACTTTGTCACCAGGCTTATTCAGCTATTTTGCAAGAAGTACTTAAATCCATGGCCAGATTGAGTTCAGAATGTAGGTCTAGTTTATATGCAAATTTAAAAAATTAATATGTATTTTAAATTATATTACACAACCTGTACTGCTGTACATATTATATTAATGGGGAGAGTCTTTAAAAGTTGTTGAAAATGATAAGGGTCTCATGTTTAAACCTATTATCCACACAAAGCAGATCATATTCCATTTTTTACCATCAATTAAAAAAATAATGAATTTGAAAGATAAAATTAGTTGGAAGCATAGTATCATCTGATCTTAAAGCATACTACACAGCTATAATAACCAAAACAGCTTGGTATTAGTACAATGACAGACATAGACCAATGGAATCAAATAAAGAATTCTAACCCATCTACCTAGCAAAGCCTATCAAATGGGGAAACAACAACCTTTTCAACAAATGATCCTGATTAAACTAGGCAAATATTTACAGAAAACTGGAACAGGATCCACATCTCACACCATACACAAAAGTCAACTCAAAGTGGACCAGAAACCTAGGGTTAAACCCAAAACACTAAGGATCATAAGAGACAAAATGGGATCAAACTTAAAATACCCCAGCATGTAGCATAAATATCCTTGGGAATATAGTCAGTAATCCATAAGCAAGAGAAAATGAAATCAAATGAGACCTTCTAAAAATCAAGTTGCTGTTTGCATCAAAAACATTTCCTATTACAGCAAAAAGAAAGTCTGTAGACTAGGAAAAAACATTTGGCAATGACATTTCAGACAGAGGTCTCATAATGAAAGTTTACAGACTACTACAGGGCCACCACAAGAAAAAGACCAGTAACTCACAAATTGGTCAAGAGACATGAAAATAAACAACAACAATAAAACACAGCTCTTCACAAATGAAGACATGTCACAACAGACACATGAAAAAATGTTCAGAATCACTGGCCATCAGAGAAATGCAAATCTAACAACAGTGAGATACCATCTCATCCCAGCAGCAATAGCAAAGTATAACAACATAGTAAGTAAGAAATGTTGGAGAGAGTGCAGAGAGATTGGAACTGTCATGCTCTACTGATGGGATTGTAAAGTGATACAACCTGTCTGGAAGGCTGTTTGGCATTTCCTCATAAAGCTGAAGACAGAAATCTCATGTGACTCGACTATTCCGTTGCTGAGAATATACCCCAAGGAAATTAGAACTGAGGCACAAATGATGATATATATATTTATACCTATGTTCACAGTAGAGTTATTTAAAATAGCAAGCAAATGGAAATAGTCCAAATGCTCATCAACAAATAAATGAATGGATTGAGAAATTGTGACACATTTACACAAAGGAATAGAATGCAGCACTTAGAAGCAATGATTAAAAAAGAATACTATACAACATGGGAGAGTCTACAGAGCATTATGCTGAGTGAACTAAACCAGTCTCATAAGCACAAATACTGCATAAGATCATTAATGTGAAAAATAGAAAGATAACTGAGCTAGATGTGTATACATGTTCAAAAGGGAAAGGGAGAAGAGGGTGGAGAAAGGAGAAGGAGGGAAATCACTAGGAAAAGTACTGAATATCCCATGGACTGCTCACAGAACAAACAGGCAAGTCTTGGAGAAATTGCTGCCAGAGTGCTCCTTAGAGGCAAAGATGGAAATACTTTCTCTCACATACTTTGAATGTGTGGCTAGGAGAGTCTAAACCTTGGGAAGAGATTTCATGCTTAGAAAGGTCAGTGAAAAAGAGAAAGAACATCAGTGCAATGATTGCAGCAATGGGCTCCCTG